GTTACTTGATGAATGTTTCGAGTGGTAAAATTAAACAGAACGTGCGTGAAATCGTTTAAAATCTGGTGCATTTTTAATGTACAAACTTTAATGGTACTTACCACCGAACATTTGTAAACTTGTTAATCTGTAATTAATTATGGAGTTGCATTATATGGAGTAAATATAGTTCTGATTCTTATTTGAAAACAAAACAAAACTGTTTTCTTAGACTGCAGAAGTCGCCTTCTTTTCTTCTAGTTCTCCTAGTTCCAGCAGCAACAAAGTGTACATTAGATCTGTGAATCTGGCTAGGATTTGGCCAGTCTGTACTATTATCTGTTTTACACAAATGTGATTGGATAAAATGAACCCGGTCAGCAAAGGAAAGACTCAAACATTGGGATGCTATGTTCAAGTCGCGTATCTTCAAGTATTTAGGTTTTCCCGTCACCAGGATACATCCCTGCCCTTTCTATTACCATGTGGTATTCGTAGGCAAAACTAGGACTAAGAGATAGGAACTAAGTTCCGTATTAACGGAGGAAATGTAAACCGAAAGGGTATGGATATGTGTCGGTGGCGGAGAAACTGAAGTATTTCAAACAGATACGCGACTTCAATATAGTACCCCACTGGGTTAGAAACATTTGCAATACCCGTTACATATTGGTAGTACAAATGTAGCTGTATCACAGTACATTCGAACTTTCGGAAGACCACGTTCCCCGAAAAGCATAGAGTTGAAAATTTTAACAAACTAACGTATTTCTATTCACAGCATCGACGTCCTTCCAAGTACCAGTTTCATACTCTACAGTGGACTACTTTGGTGTGACTTTCAAATTAACGTCTTTCTATTCACAGCATCAACGTTCCTTCCAAGTACCACTTTCATATTCTACAGTGGACTACTTTGGTGTGACTTTCAAACTAACGCCTTTCTATTCACAGCATCAACGTTCCTTCCAAGTACCACTTTCATATTCTACAGTGGACTACTTTGGTGTGACTTTCAAACTAACGCCTTTCTATTCACAGCATCGACGTTCCTTCCAAATACCAGTTTCATACTCTACAGTGGACTACTTTGGCGTGACTTTCAAACTAAGGCCTTTCTATTCACAGCATCGACGTTCCTTCCAAGTACCAGTTTCATACTCTACAGCGGACTACTTTGGCGTGACTTTCAAACTAATGCCTTTCTATTCACAGCATCGACGTTCCTTCCAAGTACCAGTTTCATACTCTGCAGTGGACTACTTTGCCGTGACTTTCAAACTAAGGACTTTCTATTCACAGCATCGATGTTCCTTCCAAGTACCAGTTTCATACTCTACAGTGGACTACTTTGGCGTGACTTTCAAACTAAGGACTTTCTATTCACAGCATCGACGTTCCTTCCAAGTACCAGTTTCATACTCCGCAGTGGACTACTTTGCCGTGACTTTCAAACTAAGGACTTTCTATTCACAGCATCGATGTTCCTTCCAAGTACCAGTGGACTACTTTGGCGTGACTTTCCATATACTTACTGGGGTAAATCATAGTTTTCGACCTTATTATCATCTAAATGATAACTTCTATTCTTTGTAACAGCTATGATCGAGGTTAGCTACAGTCATGGAGTTAATATTTCTTTCTCTGTACACATGCCCCCCCACTTCAACCCCCAGTGGCACAGCGGTATGTATGCGGACTTACAACGCTAGAAACCGGGTTTCGATACTCGTGGTGGGCAGAGCAC